GTATATACATTCAGAGTATATTTTAGTTGTAGATATCTTATTTTTTGGGCCTTATTTGCAGAAATAACCTGACGACAAGTTTTTTTTTTTGGGTTTGTTGTTAATTTTTGTTGGTGTTAAAGTCCTGATGACAAATCGTAAATAAGTAAACATTGATATACCCGTTATTTTTGAAAAAACCATGCTTTTCGAGTTTTTTTTTTTACACAAATACCTTGTTATTTTATTCGGTGACATGCTATTTTATATAAGATCATAATTAGTTTAGAGTTTTTTTCAAAAAGAAAAATGCAAATTTGTGAAGTAAACGCAAAATGGATGTAAATGATATGGTTTTTTTTTCTGGGATAAATTGTGGGAGTTCCGGATCTTTGACTCATAATATCTTTCATTGCTCGGCTCAGCCATTGATAATACTACACGTAAAACATAAATCACTTCTCCCAAATAGAATTGAATAGTGATTTTGACCTTGAGTATTTACTCTCAAGTTCACTAGGCCACCATCCGCTTAGTCGGTAAATGATATTGTTTACGCGTTGCGTTTGCATTTTATTAAGTTTTGATTGGAAAGCTTAAAATATTTTTCAAAATATATAATTCATATTTAAAGCTTGTAAAGTGTCGACAAAAACAAAAAAAAAACTTGTAAAGTACAACGCTAATGTTTAGTGATAATTCATAAATTAGACAAATAAATTCACAGGAAAATAAAATTGTTAACAAATATCTAATTTTTAAAAGAATTAGCTCTTCCATTAATTAAAAGTAGGTTATTTGCAACAACAACAAAAATGTAGATGATGAGAACCTAATGATTTTAAACCGAACAGATTATGAAAATAAATGTATAATTATATAGTTTTAAAAGGTAATTCAAAATTGTGGTTCACTGTCTTATAGTATATTAATCAAACAAGTAACATATCAACTTTGCTATAAAATACTATTTGATCATGGAAAGTATGCAGTTCCTAAAGGAGTTAGCTAAAAAGCCACTTGTCAAACAATGTTATACAATCTATTTTTATATTTCGTATGCAGATCCGAATCTCGTATAATGCTTATTGTTAAAAAACAAATTCTAGATGATGAATTTGATAAAATACTTGCCGATATTTGTAGGATAATTGTAAAAAAAAAAAAAGGGATATTTGTAGGATATTTTTCATTAGAATATAATTAATAATCACATACGACGAAAAAAAAAATTAATAATCACATTGTTGGTTACCATTGGTAAATAGTTCCATGCACTATCTTCGTCCATTTGTAATTATTTACTCGACTCATAAAGCAAACAGCCACCATTGTTTTTAGAGAAATCTTGTTTTTATATGTCCATTGTTATTTTAATATCTTCTTTATTGTATTCACAATAAATTAATTGATTACATATATCATATATGTATCACCATATTTAAAAATACATTGTTTTGCAAACGTTTTCAGGACTTGATGATTAGCATGATGATCTCATTTAGTATGTTTTGAATTTTCGGTACCTCAAAATCACAAATCCACAGGGGAAATCAAAATTTTCATTATATTTTTCATTTAACGGAAAAATTAAGCTCTTTAAATACTGTGGTAATTTTTTTTTATTAACTCGTATTTATATATTAGATATTAGAACTATGAAAAAATCGGAAAGATTTATGGGACAACCATATTTATAAAAAAATTCGATATATAATGTAGCAAAACTTATAAAATGACTAAAAGTATTATGTTATATAGTTTAAATTGGATAGCTACATTTTATAACAATATAAACATATTTTTTTTTTATATACGAAGACCATGTTTCGCTTTCTTACAAAAAAAAAAAAATCAATCTATTTGTTATTTATACTATCAAAATTGACATTATTCAGCTATTTCAATGTTGATCTATCATATTTTATCACTCTTCTATACTGATATAGTATAAATTTTTGTCAACTTATAATGATATACAATATACCAAATCTCACCTTCGAATGATAGAAAAACAAACAACAAAAAACACATGAATATTTAATAGTCATATTTTAAAGAATTATAGAAGAAACCATTACTTCTTCACTAAGAGACTGAGAGGTGGCTTATACTTCTACACTTCTCTTTGTTAATGTGTTTCTTTATGTCTTGTCTCTGTCGAACTAAAAGCATATATATGTGGTTTCATTTCAATTTGAATTTTGTTATTGGATACACTTTGAACAAAATTAAAAAGTCCCACTTCTTTTCTTCTTAAAAGACAGCTTCATAATTACCCATGAGCGTAACGTGTCGCTCTATGCTTCAATCAACGTTATGCAAATTATGAAGTATTATTGTACCAAAAAGAAGTATTTTTGTCTACATGTCTTTAGACATCGATCACACTTATCCATAAATAGGTAGAATTATTGACAAATGTAACTTTTGAAATATTATTTTTAAAAATTATCCTTTTTTCAAAAAATTTACAAAAATAATATTTTTAAAAAA